AAAATTAACATTTGGTCTATTCTATGGATCAAATATAGCATATCATCAAATTATATACTAAACATTCAAATCTAGATAAGCTTTGACCACTTTAGTAGGTTTAGGTTGTAGATAAATTAGTCTGAGCTTTTATTCTTGCATATAATTTTCAATTTATTTGTTTTGTACAAATAGTAGTAACTGTATAGTTCACAGTTTAATGATTAGTCTTAACTGCAAGTGTTGGTTTCGATTATAACATATATACATATAACTATTTTAAATTATTAATAAAGATATAAGCAAGTCCTTACTTTAATACCAAAAAAAAAAATAAAATAAAAATTTTAATTAAAAAACAAACTTAAAGCAAGTAATTTGTATAAATAAGAATTCTTAGATAAAAAAAATTTACCAATCTAACTACTAATTAATTTAAGTATAAAATCATATTATACAAATTTTACTAAATTAGTAATATAAAAGAACTTATAAAAGCAAACAAGACATCAATAAAGTTGTAAAGAAGATATTAGGATTGTATAAACTTTATAAAGATATGGTTTAATAATTAATTTTGATTGCAAATATTAGTTCTAATTATAACAATATTAAGTCAACTGTAAATAGAAATACAAAAAACTCTGAAAAGTTTATTTTAAGAATAAATTAATTTTAAGATTGAGACAAGAATCTAGATATAATCTAATAAAATTAATACAAAGATGCAAAATTAAAAGGTTTAAAATAGAACATTTAAGCAAGAATGTTAGACATAATAATTGATAAGAAACCTTTGAACAGACTCCTTAAATAGGTAATATAAAAAAGTTACACATATAACTACTTGTACACTCTTTCGTAGTAGTTTCATATAAACATATTACTCAAAAAAAATATTAATAAAGTCAAAAAAATCAAAGAAATCATCTTAATATCAAAAAAAATAATAATAAGTTTTAATTCTAATTAATCAAAAGATATACCCTATAAAACATGCCTCTTAACCCTATGCCCCAACCTTATTTGAAACACTTGAAACTACCACAACAAATTTTACAACTGCGGACCAGAACGGATCCAAAAAATTTTCAAAATTTAATAATAAATTTTGCGCACTAGGTCGGGTCGAGCCAGCCTAAAGAAAAAATTTATATATATGCGGGCCGGGCCGACAAAAAATTTTTACAACTATTTTTACAAATTCTTGAAATCTGGCAAAAAATTTACCAACAGAATATCAAAAATAGACAATTTGCAGTCCCCTACTTGGAACCTTGAATCTTCAAACTATAATTAATATAAACTTGATTCAAATAATTATTAAAAAGAATAGGTTTGCTCTAAATTTATATACAAATTAAGAAATAAAATTTTATATTAAATTTTAAAAAAAACAACCTATCAGATTTATTTAAAAGTTTTGTGTTATAAAAACTAAACATTAAAAATGTATAACCTTATAATAATTTAAAAAATTCTATGTTTACTTTATTATAAATTTATTATATATATATATAATAATACATTAAAAATATTTTGCAAATTTGAAAGATTTGGTAAAGTACGTATTGTATTATCATATTTTAAACTAATAGCTTTTAATAACCTTGTTTAATTACGTAAATCGAATATAATAAAATATCACATCCACTTTATTTTGGATAAGATTCGTATGTTTCATTATCAAGTTCAAATGTTCCATTTTGATATAAATCTTCCAACTGATCATCCAATAATTGATTAATACCTTTCGCACCTACATAAATGAATTAATTATTAAATAATTCGGCTTAGCAGAAAATCCAAATAATACACTAAAAAACATACCATCTGTCACTTTTTTAGACCATACAAAATACTCTGTTATGTATATATGAAATTTTAGAATTAAAAATCATCTAGAAACCAAAAGGATTTTACTAGTACGTTAAGGTGAACTTTAGTATAGTGGCATGTTATTAATTTTTATACATGCGATCACCATAGAGCCTGCTCACCTAAAGTTCAACCATAGATAGTTAATACTGACCTTGCACGCGATCTTTTGACCAGTTCACAGGTACAGAACGTTGCATATCTCTTAAATTATATAGTTTATCTGCGAGCTTGACTAATTTAGCCTATATTAATACGAAGCAATACTGTAAATAATAAATTGGCATTTTAAACTTTGTAAAGTAGTAAAGTTTTTTACCTTATCTGATATATGTGGAGTATGTTCGATCTGTAGTCTCTTTCTCTCAGCCGTCTGTAACGATTTATCATCGGTAACTTCTTCTACGATCTTTCTAACTTCATTTCCAAATTTACTTTCTATCTAATTGTATTAAATAGAAATAAGAATTAATGAGAATTAAGAAGGCAGATGTTCTTGCATACTTCTTCAAAAGTTGTTTCAGTATCTTCCACTGTATCATGCTACAATTCATTTAAGAGAATAAATTTAATTAAGTAGAAGAACTTTTAGAAAAGACATCGGATAATATTGTTTTCATAATACCAGTATAGCAGCTTGTATAGTTGCGAAGTCCGTAATACCGGCGTCAGTGAGATTCTTGGCCACGCCAATCGGGTGGTTGATATATGCTTGATATTTAAATGGAAAAGGTTACTTTTAGTTAATTTAATAAGACAAGAAACAATGAAACAGGGCTTAAGATATTCAGGCATCCAAAGAAAAAGCTCTTGCATAGATTGACAACCTATAGTTCACTTGGAGTCTCTTATCGAGTAAACCTTTAGTTGTCGTAATATGAGCCTTCATTCCTTCACTTTCTCTTGGGCAACTGAGATATTCTAATCCTGCCGAGAATTACGTATGATAACTTACGCGTTCCTTCTCGATCTTTACGTTTCTGCTGGGAATGTTTTTTCGCCGCAAAGTCAAGTGTGTCAAATAATAGAGATATATCGAATCTCCCTTCAAAAAAAGTTGTGGTTTGTGTTTCTTTAACTTCTGACATTTTCGTTTCTGTTTAGGTGACCTGTTGATCAATTATTTTTATATCTTTCCCAGTGTCTCAAAAAAGGGCACGTGATTAAACTAATACCTGTATAAATAATAACAGTGATATTTTTCCGAACCTCTGTAGCTCACCCACAAAATTTTTTCCGACACGTGATTCTAGCCAATTAGATTGAAGGATCAGGTGTAACGTGAAAATCACGTCTTTTTAAAAAATC